GGACACCAGGGTGAGGCCGTTGGCGTGGTTGAAGGTTTCGGAGATGTCCTGACCGAAGGTGTAGCCGGCACCTCGGGGGGAGATGCCCCACCCGCCGCGGTCGTCAGGGTCGGACCACAGCAGGTCGCACATGGGGCCCTAAAACCACAGAAGAAGAGTGGGTTTGGGGGGCCTGTGCCTGTGTGGGCAGCTGGCAGCCTCTGTGGGGGGGGGGGTACCTCATGGGGGACCTCCTGCAGGCGGTCCAGAGCTCGTATGTGATCCAGGGTGTCTATGGAGGGAGACAGGCCTCCATGCAGGCAGAAGATCTGAAGAAGAGACGGAGTTAGCGTCAGCCTCAAACCGGCCTGGAGCCAGCCTTAAGCTGCAGCTCCAGTAAACCAGGTCACTTTTCTAACAGCATACTTAAAAACCTAAAGGAAAATTAGGATTTTATCCCCTTAAATACCTAAAATAGCACTTTTGACATTTATTTTCCCTCTTATGAACCTTTCTTCCTGCTCAAAACAACCAAATATTCAGCAATTTGAGGTTTTTGGCCCTTTAAGTACCAGTTTGATTACATGGCGCTCCAACAAATCGATATTTAATACTTAAGAAATGTCAAAATCTGTCTGTAATATGTGAAAGATTAGCCAAACATTGATATTAATGCATTATTAGTTTTAGTATAGCTTGAGTTGCAAAATATTTTTCATCATCTTAAGTCCTTTCAGCTTTAAAACAGCCACTTAAATAAAAAACTGATAGAAAAATAGCACTTTATTTAAAAAACTTCCTCTTATGAGCCTTTTTTCTTGCTCAAAACAACCAAATATTCAACAATTTGAGGGGTTTAGCCCCTTAAATACCAGTTTGATTACATGGCGCTCCAACAAATCCAACAAGCCTACCTGTCCATCGACCAGGGCGGTGAGCGGCAGGTAGTCGAACAGGTCTGTGAAGTACTTCCAGACGTTGGCGTTGCCGTATTTCCTCAGACACTCGTCGTAGAAGCCGTAGACCTGCGTGATCTGCCGCGACTCGTGGTTCCCCCGCAGGATGGTGATTCGCTCCGGGAAGCGGACCTGGACACACAGACTGGCCAATCAGGCTCCAGGACGGGCGCCGCCTCCCCCCAGAGGAGCCGCCATGTGGGGGACCCCTAAGGGCCGGCCCCCAGCTCTGACCGGGCCTGGACCGGCTCAACCAGCTCAGCATGACTCAGCGTTTTCCCGGCTGAACCTAAACACTTCCTGATTGGGGTCACATGACCTCCAGTCTGCAGACCGGAGCTCGTTTCTGGCTCCAGAGTTGTGACAACAAACACAAGCTCCCATGATGTCCAGGTCCAAGCTAACGTCAGCTCCTGGATTCATCCTATTTGGAGATCCCGCACCAATAATTACCGGATTCTCTGGACTACAAGTCTCAGTTTTTTATTCATAGTTTGGCCGGGAGAGCGACTTGTGAAATTATTAAGACATTATTAGATCATTTCACATGTAATTTTCACGCGAAACGACCAGAGTGCGCTCTGGGCAGTGTTGATCATTTAAACATTGGCTGTAACTGAGAAGGGCTCAACAAAAATGAATCCCGAAAAGAAAATCAGATTCTGCTCATTACAAGATAGAAGTAGTAAAATGAGCAGCCGAAAACAGGAATCGAGACGCAGAAAGAAAGTTTGGAGTTAGCCAGAAACCTGAGAGGGACTGGGGTACAAAAGGTGATCCAGCATTTGCAAATTCCTACATTTACCAAGGTTCTTGAACAGACCAAACTGCTGTCCATAGAGACCTGAGTTCTTTACTTTGTGTCACACTCTGCTTGGCTAGTTAGCCTATTAGCAATTGGTTAGTTGGCCGCTAACTAGCCTATTGCCAGTTAGCAGCTATTGGCTAGTTAGCGGCTAACTAGGCGGCTAAGATAAATTTCCCCCCAAAATGCGACTTATTTGTGTCTTTTCCTTCTTTATCATGTTTTTTATGGCTGGTGTGATTTATAATCCAGAAAATTCGGAACTTTAATGACCACTCAAATGTGTAAAGACGTTAGAGGAACAATGATAATGCAATGGTGGTTTCCCCCTAAAATGCGACTTTTGTGTCTTCTCCTTCTTTATTCTGCATTTTAGGGCTGAAACGACTTATAGTCCTGATCGATTTGTAATCCAGAAAATACCCGAATAGTTCAAATTTACCAGGAACATTTCTCAGGTACATTTAGAAGAAAGTGAAACTGGTTTAAGTGTTGAACAGCTTGACCTTTGACCTTCCCCAGCAGAGCTCTGCAGCATCCCATTTGAGGGGGGGAGGCTGGTCTGGGGACCCTGTTTCTGACTTGTGGGGCAGATCCGGCCCAGCCAGAGCCTGTGACCTATGACCTGTGACCTGGACATGCCTCTGAGGGCCACCCCCCGCCCCCCCCTCCTTTAAGACCCCTCACCTTTAACGTGACCAGCAGCGTGACCGTCTCCACGGAGTAGTAGCCTCTGTCGACGTAGTCGCCCATGAACAGGTAGTTGGTGTCGGGAGACTTCCCTCCGATCTTGAAGAGCTCCATGAGGTCGTGGAACTGCCCGTGAACATCGCCGCACACCGTCACCGGGCACCGCACCTGGGGGGGACGCCAGGAGGTCAAGCTCCGCCCACA